AAGAGCAAAACTAGGATCGCTAGCCGACCCTTCCAAACCAGTGGTAATGCATTCTACATTGAATATTTTAGAACACCTATATTTAGGTGTGTATGCGTTCGGTAAGCATCTGTCCATCGTGTGTGCGGAGCCATCTTGCGCAATGTTACTTAGAGCGCGGCAAAACTGAGTAAAAAAAACGAAAGAAAAGAAGCTAGAAATGGAAGCATCGTCCTACTTTAATAGGTTTTCGTCGCTCATTCTTTCCGCGTAACGTAGCGCGGGCGAGGGATTTTACGGAATGGGGATGTCTGCCGCTGAATTTCCACGAGTAGCCCACTTGGCAAATAGTCCATCTTTCACAGGGTCCAGAAAAAGTTGAGAGGGTAGACATTCGAAACTGTTAATACCACAAAAGAAATTATGGAAAGCATCCTAGTAGAGTAATCAGAGAACACTGCTACTTGTTACAGAGAAAGCTTATTCAGGGACCGGTGTCGAAATATATGATCGAAAGATACGGCTTCAGCAGCAACTGCACGGTGCTTCCCTTTTTAGGAGATAATCCCGGTAAGATGTGATATTATTTTGATGAAACTAGCGATTATCCAGCTCAGAAGCCTAAGCTAAACTGGACAGCTATGGCTATGAGGGGACCAAACATGATCTAAAGGAGCTCCTTCACAGTGAATCGAACTGAACGGCTCGCCAGCCAAACATTCTTAAAGTCACATTCCATGGTAATCGGATGGGCGGAGATTCACAACCATTGTGCCTTCCTTATGGGCGCACCCCTCCTCTTGTCATTTATTGGAAGGAAGCGCCACTGAGAAAGGTGAAATACCCACACCAGAGGGCGGACAATGACGAAGGACAACTTGGCGGGTGGGACCCTATCTTACGCAGATTTAGTAAAAAGCGGCGTCCTCAGTCACTATGCCCCTCCTTTTCTTATTCAGAATTTTGCCCATAGAAAGCTGTTTCTTACTGAATGGTCATTATTGCAGCTTCATTAGCCGGCTTGAACCTTTCCGAAGATGATGTGGGTATTTCACTTGGAACCAGTGATACCGTCTTCTTCACCACGAACGAGTATAAGCCATGTGTGGATGCACATTTCTTCAGTCATTTCTTAGGAAAGAAGGATGAATTCATGGCGCTTGTTTGGTAAGTGAACCTTTTAGAACTTTTTTTTATTTGAATCACAGCAAAAACTTCAAAAACTTTGAAATATTACCTAGATAAGCTTTTTTTGTTATCAGGTCTTCGCTCTTTCAGCTTTAAAAATGGCTCGCTGACCCGTGAACGAGTGCGTAAACGACTTGGTTGTGAATGGAACGATTTCGGAACGCTTCTCGCAAGAACTCCACCTGGGAACGACGGGAATATAGGTAAAATACTGTAACCCGCATCGATTCAGGGAGAGATGACGTCATTAGATGAGCTGATTGGCTGACTTTGCACTACTGTCGTATTGAAAGGGTCCGACGGCGCAAACATGTGTAGGATCACCATTGGAACAGCTTATTACTCCTCCAGCAAACTTTTTACCCATCACCTGTTGTGGCTTAACTAACTTCCCCTTTGTACGTAATTAGCAATTCGATAAATGAGTTAATGAATTCAAAATTAATTAATCGTTAGCTTCGGAAGAGTAGTTCAGTTAATGGTAGGTAGGTTTAGGTCTATACTTCGATGAGAACGAAATCGCTCCCAGAGTAAGGAAGGGCGACTTCAGTACAGAAGGATGATGATAGCTATCACCTAGTCGAGGAATTTGCACCGGAGGTAATAGATTCGTCATTACGAATGAGATAATAATAAGAAAAACGAGCAACCAGCAGAAATGGTTACTTATGTTGATCGCGCCACGCATATGACTTTGGGATCGAAGTCGCAGAGCATTTGCATGCCTAAATCTATGTGAGAATTAAGTACATTGTATGGTCAAATATTCGATATTTATGTCGAATATTGACCTGCGGGCTGCAAGCGGCTCTTCACTAAGTGTTTTATCAGATTTCCCATGGCAGATCTCCAGCCGATTTTCGCCTCAGTAAACCTGTCGCTGAGTGCTCACGTGTTTCTAGGAAGGAGGGGAGGGGAAGGAGGGGAAACAACAGCTTCAAGCGGGCGATTTTCGGCTAATCAGGTTTGATCTGAAGAAGACTATGCTCGCCTCTGTCGCTTCGGCGATTCCGGTCGTCCACGCCTAAGTCTTGAGCTTTGGTTGGGGGGGGGGGGTGGGGAGAGTGGACACAGGAGCAAAGCCGAGAGGTTCCCATTTCAAACCGTTAGCGCTCGGCTCATATGTAGTCTGAGGCTCCCACACTAGTCCTCGTACTCTAATTACCTCCCACAGTAGGTGGTAACTGAGCGAGCGGTAGCGTAGCGGCTAATTTGACTACGCAGCGTGTGAATGTGCACGTGCATAGTCACTCAAAACATAGTCGCTGGTGTTAAATAAGTCGCTGGTGTTAAATATGCGTGGCGTCGCTTGGAATCCTTAATCTCATGCTCTCACACGCCCACATTAACCACATCTCCAAAAGTCATCCACTTCAGACTGAAGCACGAGCGTTACTCGAAGGTCAATCGCTGTTGAAGTTAATGTACGCCAAAACTATGGGATGTACTACGGGAAAAGGTGAAGGGCTCAGAATCTGTTTGGCTGCCATTTTTCATGCACGTGAAGTTCTAGCCCCATCACATCAGCAATCTATTTCAGGCCGCCTTTTCCTCACAGGTGGTGCGTCAGCTAATCCCGATTTGCAGAGGATTCTCTCTGATGTCTTCGCCATGGACACCTACATATTGAATGTTCCAGATTCTGCGGCTTTGGGTGGAGCTATGCTCGCCAGATACGGTAATTTTATTCAACTCAATTTAGATAGTGGTTATATGAAGGCCTCTTCAGGTGCTCTAATTGAAAAGGAGGGGTTACCCTCGTCAAAATGCCCTTCACCCGCATCCAAAGGAAGAAAAATTTTGTCATTTTTATCATTTAGCCATCATTCAGCAGTCAGCATTCCACCCATAAGTCCCCCTCTTCCCTTCACTGACTTCCCGTCTCTTTTCCTTGAAGGCGGTTGGCACGACGATTTGCAATTCGCCCTACAATTTTAGCAGGGCCTTATATAGTGGGGAAAAAAAGCGAAAAAAGGAGCGAAGGTCAAAAACCTGCGAAGAAAAACCTTCGTTCTCAATGACTCAAAAAGCAATTTCGGACGAGTTTCCCGTAGGCATCTTGCCAATAACCGCTACGGTAGGTACGGCTGCACGTATGTACTCATATATCCATGCAGCACCGCGGCCGCTTCATACCAATCCCTTCGCTTCATATTTTACTTAGCAAATGAAGCAATACGAGCATCAGGTACGGTCGTCCATTTGTGGGCGGGCGGGCGTGGTGGGCGTTTGGGTCGGTATGTTGTAGCTTGATAGGGCCATGTAAGGGTAGCTTCCGTGGAAAAGGCGCTACGCAGCTTCCTGCTCAGGAGTCGCGGAATTCCATCCTGCCAAGCGTACTACTTCTACTCGTGTTAGGGAATTATCGTGCCAACTGCTTTGAACACTTTGCTTAGCTCAGCTTAACCTGTGCCCGCGGGACACGTCATGACGATTAGTCAATATATATTCTTCGTACGACCCCTCTCCCCCCCCCCTCGACCCCACGACGCGCTGCCCGTATTTAATTCCTTTTTGTTTCCCATAGTATAGGGCTTGTCCATTCCCCTTGTTGACCACACCAGACTTCTTATTTTCCCTTATTCGCTCAACCCTTTACCACTATGGGGCCTTTGGAGCCCAACCTACAATAGTTAGATCAGTTTCTCTGTAAGAGCCCTCTTACTAGCCTATTAGGGATCAGCAAAATTCTCCTATTCCACTATGGATACGTTTCTCCTTCTACTTTACATTCTACACTTTTTTAGGGATCAATAGCCTCAGTGCTAACAGCCTGTGTCAATAAACATCGCCGTGACATACATTCCCTACCACCCGTGTGGATTATTTGAATTAGTTAAATTCTACAAGCAGTCTACACCATGATTATGCACCTGTCACTCCATTTCAGCCTACTACTCCCCGAACTCATCATATAGCGACTACTACAAGAGTACGTGCGTTGCAAAAGTTGCCGAACCGAATTTGGAGAATTCCCAAGTTTACGAGCAGATGCTGGAGGATTTCTCTTCACTATGCCGATCCATTCCAGTCATGGACTAGTGTCACAACAGTATGATATTAGGAAGGATGAAATCTCGGGCATTGCATACCGGTAGAACTAAGGAATTGGTAGCAAGTAGGAACTTTCTTCAGATCCTGTAGGATGAAATACTGTTTTTCCTCGTTGTTGAACACGTTAGGTTGGGATCTTAACTACTTTTTGAATAAAATGAATTTTCGACTTAATATCGTGATTTTGCAATGCATTTCTCACTCTCTTCTTGTTCCGTCCTGTTCGTCATTGAATGCTGCCGAAAGGTCCTTCCCCGTATCTCTCTAACTTCGTGTGCTTCCCCTTGTGTTGACCAGCAAGCTATTGTGGCAACCACCAACTACAATCCATATTAAGGAGCTTGAAAAGGGCGTCCCCACAGACTACGTTGTAAGCTCAGTGCAACATATCACAGATGTGCACCCACCGCCGTGCTCACAGCAAGATACGTGGACACTTCCTTTCCAGAGCCGTGCTGTAGACCGCACTTATTTAGACGCTATCCAGATTAGGGGGGGGAGGCTGTCAGTCAAAACTCATACCATTCCGCAAGTTTATAAGATTGAACACGTCTCACAAAGAAGAGAAAATTAAAGAAGAGCGAATAGGTTATAAGAGCATTGCAAGATGGGGGTGGTATTCCAGCCAGGGCACGTTAGGGAAACTTGTTGCAGAATGAGACCTCCTTCGAAATTTCCCTATCTGGTACCTCCCCCCCTCCCGATCCCTTCCTCATTCCTATCCTATCTACAAACTTCCTTGACAGTCCGAACTTCCTACCGCTTTTTCGGGGATTTTTTTTCTCGAAAATACCTCTAGTCCGTTGAGGACCCTTGTTCTATAAATATGCCACTGTATGTGATGTAATGATTTATTCAGTCATTTCTTACCATGTAGAGCTGAATTTGCTGTAGTTCAAGACAAGGGACGACATAGCGCGCAGCTAGACCGTAATCCTACTTAGTTGACTCGATAAACCACTAAAGCGTCATATCAACTTTATCATAGCAGCCTATGGCCCTATACCGTTTATTTGACGGTCTTAATGTGGTCTCATTTGACTTCGATATTTTAATTTTGACGATAAAGTGCCGTTTCGAGTCAACTAGCCAGGTATGCTGGCTTGATCGTGGTGCTGTACCTGCTTCAGATGCCCTGAACTCCACCCGGCTGTCAGTGTGCGCTAGGCGTTCCCAATGCTACGTTTGCAGTAAACCTCTAACCTCTTCCATCAGGACAGCCATGATAATAAGGAAGTTTCAGACCGCTCCCTCATTTCAACCTTCAGTATTGTAGACCTCGTGAAGGCCTGAACGTTGGGCTGAACTCCGCTGTGTAATAGCGCCGACAATTCATATTCTCAATACTGGACGATTAAGTGATCCCAGACTGAGTTTAGCGCCAAGCAGTCGGTGGCAGTCAACAAAGAGATGTTTCCAAACACGGAAGAAAGCGCAAGCACGGTGTTATTAGATACCCTGCATATCACAGTGATGGGGTGGGCGTGACGTTTTTCATTCAAACGGGGCGGCAACTTTGCTTCTGGAGGGTTAAGCAGCAAATGGTGGACCCATAATGCTTGCAACTTATTAACAATTGGTGCAAAATACAGTATTCTCCAATGTGAATAAATGTAAGTGGGCGCTTACATAGTTCGAGAGGGAGAGGAGGTGCTATAGCAGCGCCTTTACGACCCCCTCCCTTTCATGGTTTGCGCTTAACAAAACGCAGACGTCCAGGGTAGCCGCGGGGTTTCGCCCAACGACAATGATCCAGAGAGACAACGTAGCCGCGTGCACCACTCCCCCCCCCCCTTCCCTCCCTCTCTCCCCAACTACGCTAGCGCTCGGAGATGTAATCCGAAAGTCGCGACAAGAACAGAACTAAGACGAACGAAAAGATCTTAGCATGAATCCGTGGGCAAACTCGCAATCCAGATGCGATAAAGAAAAAATCGGAAATGAACACGGCAAAAACTTAAAAGGATTTCATCCATTATGACTGAAACAACACGTACAACATGGGAAAGTTACCATATTTAAGTTTACCTGACAAATGGAAAAATCGAATAATTTTCAGAAACTCCTAGCCATAGGAAAAAATCCAGGCAAAGTAATGTAAAAAGTTATCAATACAAACGAAATTCCCAATCAGTCACAAAGATCAACAATAAAACCACAACAGGAACGCGTAACAATATAACAGCTAGTTAAATACTTTTTTAAACTCTAATTACGATTTCTGATCGTCATGGGCCTGAATTCAAGCCTACCAAACCTATGGTCAAGTGCCGAGTGGGAGTAACTGGTTACATTGGGTGTAGTTCAGGACATTTGATGAGCGGTAACTAGCAAATATTCCAAGTTAATTGACTCGACACTAGAAAGCGGTGTTTAATCAATCACAGTAATTATGCCTGCAATTGGGAGGGCGTGTGAAGGGGCGTGGACTCAAGCGCAGCGGGGACAACCTTTTCCACCAATCATAGCGGGCTCACAATGGCACTGAATGGTGGCAGAAAACCCGAAAGCGTGGATTGGAGCGCCCTGGCCCTGGATGCGCTCCAATCCACGCTCCTTCACAGACCCTCGCGTTTGCATGGCCGCCTTCAGTCACATACCATTTATTGAAGGGCCTTATCCCAGAACATTCGACAAACACTGAATTACCAAGTTTTGAGGATTACTGTCAGATCACGTTCTTTACCGCTTTGAATGGGGGGGGGAAGATGATTCGTTCAGTGATCCATAAAAACCGGAATAGATAAAATCATTTCATAGATCCCGAACTTTTGCAAGTGTGTGCAAACAATACGTACACAACTCTAGCTACTACGATCAAAATGATTTCACTCCAGAGTCTCGTGTCGAGTCAACTAGCTAGCAATACTAGTTGGACGCCGCAATGTTCCGCAACTACGCGCGATAACAACTGGAAACGTTGACCAGGTGGCAGGCGCACTCAGGTCAGCATGAATAACGTAGGTGAAGCAGGAGTTAAAACCCTCACATCTGCGCATAAATCGGTAGAAAGAAAACTATCACTGAAAGTCAAATCGTCCAATAGAAAAAGTGTGACACCTCAAGGAAACGAACATTTTTTTTCCAAATAACAAACCTCAAAAAATTCAAGTGAAAAGGAAATCAACAATATTCGATCCATACTTGATAATCTAGTTTCTTTAGTATGACTTCCCACGATTGTGCGAATATGGGCTTTTTCTAGGAGGAGGACTTCCTTCCTCTATCTGAAATCGCTTGTTATTTCAATAACATATTATTAGGTTGGCGGGAAAGTTCCTGTCACTTTTTTCAAATTGGGCTTTCTTTTTATAGAGGCGTGTAAGATCAAAATTGTACAGCAATGCTACTGCGGGGTCCTTGCCTGTTTTTGAGCACCTCATGGATGCCATCGCTTCACAATGCAGGGAGGCGCGATACAAAGTTGGACATCATCTCAATCTTGGCTTGAACTCAGACTTTTCGAGGTTTTCTCGTAATTTCTCGTCCAGTAATGATTGATTACGGGAGGCAACTCGCAGTTAGAAGGAGCAATGTCTGTGCTACACCACTGCAAGGGGAGAGCCATCCAGCTCTATTGCATGAGGAACGGCTAGAACTTTTTTGGAAGTGCGCTGCACTATCAGAAGCATTTGGAGGGGTCGGTGGCGATGGTAGCGGATAACATTCTTGTCCATATTGCAGAAGAAGAAGCAGGAATCAAGCGAGTGGTACTAATAGAAAGACCACTCTTTGATGTATAAGTGCTCACATTATTCACCCCTCTTCAGGTAATGGGCAAATATTTTGAGTTCGAAAAAGTGACAGAACTTTCCCGCCAACCTAATACTTATAGTTGATCACTTACAGCTGATAACGTCACAATCGGACGGAGCGATTTCGATAAGAATGGAATGAGCACACCCGCGGCGTTTCTACCACTGGTTACTTTCTCCTTAAACCGATTACTATTCCATCACCACTGGTAGAGCAAGCCACATGGAGGCGGGCCCATTCCACCCCTCGGCACTACCCCGCCTGATTGCACGTTATCAACTACAGGTGATGATGTAGAAATACAATCTGAAAATCGTAGATGCTTGTAGATAGGGTACAGCATCGTGATGTGTTACATCCTCATTCCCCCCCCCCCCCAAAGAGGGTGTCGGTACGACCACTCCCTCCCTTTCTCCCATCGCCTACCTACCGATTTCCCCCACATTTGTCCAGTCTTTTCACCCAACTTTGTTCGCGTCCATTGGGGCGGGATGGGGAGTGGTACAAAGCCAATGTGAAACAGAGAAAAATCATTGAAAAGTTAACAAGACGGGCGGAAAAATTACCTTTCCATACAGCGCACATTTCTGCCAAAGGCACATACAACCCCCTCTCCCAACAACGACCAAATGCGACCCCTTCTCCCCAGCGGCCAAGTACGACCCCCTCTCACGTGTTTCACACAACGATGCTATAGTACAAAAGCAAAATAAGAAAAGGATCTGAAGAATTATTCGAAGAACCTTTTCTACAACGTAACTCGGTTGCTCAGAAGATGTGTCGCCAGTTCCTGAATGTTTTCGAGAGTTATTTGATGAGGCCGACCGATCATGACCCTGAATCCTTCGCTTAAACACAAGTTACACGATACCAAAAGTAAAAAATAGCTTGCGTGTATAAAGTGAGCAAGTCCGCATCCACTGAAGTGTACTACCACTTTAGCCAGTCGAAAAAGGGTGGCCAGAAAACTGGAGGTTTGTAATTGCTCGACGCTACTTAGTTCTGACCCGTTGACCTGTGCACCAGAAGACCGAAAACAGAACCCGGAATCGTCTCAAAGAATTCACTGGACCTTTTGAAGCCGATAAAGCACTCAAAACACTATATCGGTGGGACGCTGCAGGCAAGTGAATGACGCGGTCGTGGAGGTATCGATTGGTTCGCAAAAGTATCAGAAACATTATGCAATGACAAGCTTCTGTGTTTCTTGCCACACCTTTTCGAGTGGAGAAGGTAGTACAGTTGCACAGCCACGTATTTGCCCACCTTGCACAAGGGAAGAAGCCTCCTGTCGGTAATTGTACAATGTAAGAGCGTGTTCATAATTTCTTCAGAGTATTGAGCGTTCTGAGGGACCAGGAAAGTATAGTCATCATTCTAAAGTTCTGAGCACCAGCCAGCTTGCTTGTTTTCAGCGACTAAGAATGTATAGGAATCGATTACCACTGAGGACGCTAGCGGACACTCAAAACGCTACCGCTCGAAACCCTTTTAGACGCTCAGAACGCTGTCGCAAAGTATGAACGCATTCTAAGTTTGGCGAAAACTGCACATTCCAAGAAACATTGGAAAAGAGAATGAAAAAGAAATGTGTACAACGTGGAGCTTTGCCTACCTTTTTCCGCTTCTTGAGTTCATTTCGACTATGAATATCCGCTTTGATATTGCCCTTCTCTTTCATCAACGAAACCCTGTAACCAATAAGGCTTGAATTAGAAGCTTCGAAGGAATATTGAACGAAAGGATGGTTAAAAGGAGAGAAAGGAAGCAAAAACTTGGAGAGCTAACCGTTTCTTGTTCAGTGCCATTCGCTGCGCACGCCGCTGCTCTGCAAGATCAAACTTTCGGCGAGCTAATTCCCTCCGCCTCTCTATCTGCGCTGCATCGTCCTTAGAAAAAAAAGTAGGGTGGACACAGGAAATAAAAGGTAGTCTTTTCAAATTTACAAGGTTGAAAAAGAACAAAAACATAAAGTGATGACAAGTGTTACGCAAAAATATCAAATCAACTCAAGGCAGTGGGCACGACGACTGGGGGTGGGCGGTTACCACCAACGTCATGGGTGAAAGGACTGGGTGGGGTGGTTCAACGCCGTCTCGCAGCCCTAGCCTTTCCACCAATGACGACGACGATGGCAGTAACAGCCCCCCCCCCCGTCATAGTGCCCACTGCCCCTAGAATGTTACGCTGAAGGAAAATTGATAAAATGCGCCTTTTGAACCTACCGTCACATCGTGTGTCTGTGTGATGAGCCAGAGAGAGCGTGTGCTTGCACGGTCTGCTAAAAGATCTGAAAATAAAAAGGATCATCTACTCGAAACAGTACTTTGTTAAGCTTTCAGGATGACAGCGCTTGTCAACTTACGTTTTTCCAAACGACGATGGAGGCGTCTTGTCAATAGGCACCACAACTCCCGATATTGCCAATCTTCTGAAAGAGAAAATCGTTGGTTTATTATTATATATGTATCTCTATTCTGATGTTCATTCAAGAAAAGGACGCCAAAACCAATGGGGGGGGGGGGGAGGGTCGCTTCCACAGCCCTTACACTGACGGAACGCTTTTTTTCGTTTTTGCCAGGCCCACCCCGCCAGGATCAAAGAGTGCGTTAATGCCGCCATGCCGCACCCCTTCCTCCACCTCCTAACAGCCAGCCGTCTATACGAAATCCAAAAAAATATGCTAATGTTTGAAAACTCCCTTCGTAGGAAATCATGAATCAACAACGAAAACTTTGCTACCTCGATTTCGCTGGAACAGGAGGAGCCGACTGTGTGGCTATTTCAGCGGGGGAGGCTCGAACGCCCGCACTTCGTATCGATACTCCAGAAATAGCAAGGGTTCTAAAGAAGAGGGCAGCAAGTGACCTGTTAGGAAGTGTAAAGCTTTGCTTGAATCATACCTAACTTGTGGCTGCTTCTCCTGCGTCTTCTTCCCGGCTTTGACGAAAGTGACGTCTTCATCGTCGTCATCATCATCCAAGATGATCTGGCTAACGGCTGGTGCTGTGTTGGGCCTCATAAGGGGAGAACGTGTCGAAGAGCCCAAAACTGTTTTGACCACCTTAACAAAGTGGCTGTGTTACTAGCAACCAACAACTGACGTGGGTTTGCTGCTCATTCTATAAGCTATATACAAAAAAACTAAACGGGAATGTTCGGGAACTGCAAGAAAAACCTTCTCCTATCCCCGGCGAATCCGAGCGACTGACTGGCCCACAGCTGGAATGGGCAGGGGAAACACCCACGTCACATGCAAAAGGAGGATCACCCGGCGGAGGCGGGCGACTGGTTACTATCATAGACCATAAACATCAGCAATGATAAATTAGCCACTTCAATGGGGTGTAGACGCCTTTCACGCCGGAAAACTACGTGCTGAACACACCTAAAACAAAAGAAGAAGGATAATAACTCGACTGACCCGCACATCATCTTCACTTTCGGAACTATCTGAGCTGGAGCTACTCGAGACGCTAGCTGGAGCAGGTTTTTGATTGCTCTTTGATTGTTCCTTTACTGCTCCATTCTTTCCAGTCTGATCTTTTGTTTTACAGCTACTCGGTAGCGGTTTGCTCGCATTCTTACGAGGGCTGATAAGTGTTGGAGATAGCGATGACGATGACGATGATGACGACGATGAAGATGGGGAAGCAACCTTAAAATTATTGATTCATGAGCTCACTTACCAGATAGGTAA